CGGGGGGCTCATGGCATCATCGTGGTGTATGACGTCACTGACCAGGTACTCCTGGACTAGCCATCCTCAGCTTGGCCTCCTTAGCCTTAGGTCTTTGACTCTTCTTTTTCCTCCTTCCATCTTCTCTTTCCTAATGCTTCCTGGAAAAGACACTGTACTTGTCTGCTTGCGGGAACTAACTAGGAAAAAGAAAAAAATAGGTGACTGTACTTGGACTCATTTCACAAGGAAGGAAACAACCACAGAAATAGATCCTCCCAAGGCCCTGTTGCAGGTTCTGGCAGGACAAGCCCTCACACCTTCCCTCCCCGCCAAGCCAAACTTACCACCTTATTGTAGACCTTCTGGGCACCTGCATGTTATGGGAGTTTAGTCAGGCGGTTGGCTGCTATGATGGGTCTGTGGCTTCCTGTGTGAAGACACAGTGCAGGGGGACAATTAGAGGGCCTTAGACAAAGAAGTGAGGAGGCTTGAGCTCTGGGCCCAATGCAAGCAGAGATCCAGAAGCTCTGTGCCTCCAGCAGCAGTGTTAGTCCCATGTGACTGACAGTGGTGGTAGCAAGAGCCGAAAATGGTTCCATGAAACCTTATAGTTTACAGAACCTGGCCCAGCCCTCAGATTGCAAATCTCTGATGCTCAGAAGAGGTCTGTGTTATGTTCCCATCACACAGGTGAGGAGTTGGGCTCAGGATGGTGAGGTGACTTGCCGAGGGTCCTTCGGCTAGTCCAGTGGCAGAGACAGAAAACCTGGATGGCTCATTCCACCTGCTTTGTGTTTTTCTACCAAATGTTGTTGCTTAACAGGGCCGAGCCCTGGGGATGAGGAGAAGCTTAAATCAGCCGTGGGCTGGTAAGAGTCCCTGTCTGAGGAGCAGCCGGGCTCTTTAGCTCACCAGGGACTCATGATGTCCTCAGCTCTGGACGAGCTGTGGGGAAGCTACGTACCACCCAGACAGGTTACCAGGGCCCACCTGACTGCCATCTATCCAGTGACCTCATTTCAGCAGATTGACCTCTCATGGCTTTGAACTCTGTTCTCTTCTCTCTCCTTGAAAAGTGTACCGTCCCCAGCTCCTCAGTCTCCTGCAGCACTTGATTCTCTATTGTCAGTGTCTGTTTGCTGGTTTGTCCGGTGCTGCCTCCCATCACCCTGTGTTTGGTGCTTCCCGACTGCCCTGGACTCTCCTCCTTACTCTGGTGCATGACTGGGGCCACTCTGTGGCTTGCTTCTGCCTTGTCTTCTGTGATTCCTGCATCTAACAGCTGTGGCTGTGGCTTCCCTCCTCTGTCCGTGTCTACGCTGGCACTTTGTGTCTGTGTTAATTCTGATCTTCATGATCTTCTCTAGTAAACTAAATGGTGGGGTTTGTGTTTTCCAGATGAGGAAACTTGCTTGGAGAGGTGTTAAGTAACTTGCCTCCGGTCTCACAGGAAGGGCAAAGCCAGTTTTGGAGGGCTCTTGGCTTTTGAGCACACCCTTTCCCCCGCCTCAAGCAGTCTCTGCAGAACTCAGATGTCCAGCACTGGCCTCACTGTCTCTCCCCAAACCAGCGTCTCCATCCACATTTTTAATACTTTTATTTTAAAACGTGGGGTCTCGCTCTGTCACCCAGACTGCAGTGCAGTGGTGTGATCATAGCTCGTTGTAACCTCAACCTCCTGGGCTTAAGGGATCCTCCTGCCTCAGCCTATAGGTGCACACCACCATGCCCAGCTGCATCCCCATCTTTGTGACACAATTCTTACCAGGCTGACCAGAAAACTCTTCCCTCCCCCATCCAGTCAGTCTCAAGTCCCCTCTGTTCTCTCCCCATCATCTTCCTCAAATCTGTTTTCTCATGATAATAGCAGTCATGAGGATAATAGCAGCTCTTGCCAGGTAAGCACTTGTTATGAGACAAGCCTGTGTTCATTCTCTTCATGCTCACAGCAGCCCTTCTGGGAGGTACTGTTTCTAGAAATGAGGAAACTGAGGCTCACAGTGGTCAGGGGACATACCTGAGGTCACACAGTAAATGGCTGAGCCAGGCCTTCAGCAGCGGTGGTCTAAATCCTGTGTGCATCCCTGGCTTGGTGCACATTCTCTTCCCTGGGTTATTCCAACCATTCCCAGTTGGTCTGCATCTTGCTGGTCTGATCTGGCCTCTGGCTCCTGTCAGGACTAGCTTTCCAGAGCACAGGTGTGATCTTGCTGCTTCTGGCCTGAGAAAACGCCCACTGGCTCCTGGTTGTCCAAGACTTAGCCAGGCTGAGACAGTCTGTGCTCTGGCCTCTCCCCATTCCCCGCTCTGTCCTCCCCGTCCCCTCTCCCCTTTCCCCCTCTCCCCTTTCCCCCTTTCCCCCTCTCCCCTTTCCCCCTCTCCGCTTTCCCCCTCCCTATTGAGTGCATCCCAGCAACATTCCACTTCCTCCCATTCCCCAGAGACATCATGCCCCTCCCATTCAGTGACCTGGCACATGCTGGCTCCCCAGCTGGCACCTCTCCTGCACAAGGCCAGTTCCCACCTGCAGGCTTAGGCCTGCTGTTGCTCCCACCTCAAGCAGAGGTGGTCTGGGGGCTCCCCGGTCCCTGCCTTCTAACCTGTTTTGCCCTTGTGTGTGGCCTGGTCTATTCCTCTGCTGTCCCGTGAATGTGTTAGGGCAGGACTCGGGTATGATTTCCCCCTTTGTCCCCAGCACTTAGTGCAGGACCCAACTTGGAACATGGCAAGAGTTTGAGCCAGTCTAAGTTTGAGCCAGTGTGATATCATCAGGCCTCTGGCTCCTAAGGAGGAAAAGTGGCACTAGCTTGAGCACTTTCCTGAAAGTCCTGTCCTTTGTGTGTGGGGTAGGGGCAAGCTGCTGGAAGAGTCTGAAGCCGGGTCATAAGGCTGTTGGTGCCAAAAGTAGGATGAATTTTAGGCTGTTCCCAGGAGTCCTGTCTCGCCATGGGCCAGGGCCGCCTCTGAGAGGACCCTCGACCTCCTGCGTTCCAAGGCTACAAACCTTAAAGGGATTTTTCAGGCCACGGTGGGAACTATAACTCTTGCAGACCTGTTAACTCTCTGTTCCTGTCTCCCCTCCACTCTCTCTTTGCTTCTCACATGTGGTTAGGCCTGCAAGTGTCTCGGGCAGAGACAGCTGCAGGGAGCAGAGCTGGCAGGCCTGGGTTGGAGCAGCTGTTGAGGTGCTAGGGCAGCTGGCAGGCTGCTGGGGCTCTTCTGGGTCTTGGATGGAGGAGGGCAGGGAGGAAGGTTCAGCCTGGAGCAGAGGGCTTCCTCTGCATCCCTGAGCCGAGGACTCAAGGGGCCCAGAGCTGTACTGTTCCCCTCAGAGAAGGTCTTGTTCTCCAGGTCTGGGGTAGGGGTGACAGTTGGGAGCAAAATAACTTTGGCCCCTGGCCCCCTCTAGGAGTCCTATGCCAACGTGAAGCAGTGGCTGCAGGAGATTGACCGCTACGCCAGTGAGAACGTTAATAAGCTCCTGGTGGGCAACAAGAGCGACCTCACCACCAAGAAGGTGGTGGACAACACCACAGCCAAGGTAGCAGATGGGCCGGTCTGCCTGGGCTGGGGGCGCTGGGGCCTCCTGCCCCTCACCCTGCTCTCCCCTCCTCTTCTCTCCTCTCCCTTGTCAGGAGTTTGCGGACTCTCTGGGCATCCCCTTCTTGGAGACAAGTGCCAAGAACGCCACCAATGTCGAGCAGGCGTTCATGACCATGGCTGCCGAGATCAAAAAGCGATGGGGCCCGGAGCAGCCTCCGGGGGCGAGCGGCCCAATCTCAAGATCGACAGCACCCCTGTAAAGCCGGCTGGCGGTGGCTGTTGCTAGGAGGGGCACATGGAGTGGGACAGGAGGGGGCACCTTCTCCAGATGATGTCCCTGGGGGGGTGCAGGAGGTGCCTCCCTCTCCCTCTCCTGGGGCATTTGAGTCTGTGGCTTTGGGGTGTCCTGGGCTCCCCATCTCCCTCTGGCCCATCTGCCTGCTGCCCTGAGCCCCAGTTCTGTCAAGAGTCCCTAAGGGAGGACACTCAGGACCTGTGGTCAGGCAGGGCAGGGGCCTGCTCTGCTGCTGCCTCTAGGTGACTTTCCAAGATGCCCCCCTACACACCTTTCTTTGGAACGAGGGCTCTTCTGTCGGTCTCCCTTCCACCCCCATGTATGCTGCACTGGGTTTCTCTCCTTCCCCTTCTTCCTGCTCTCCTTCTGCCCAAGAGCTGAGGTCTCCCCGGCCTCTACTGCCCTGGCTGCAGTCAGTGCCCAGGGCCAGGAGAGTGGCCAGGGGATCCAGGACCTGGGATCCAGGGCCCTGGGCTGGACCTCAGGACAGGCATGGAGACCACAGGGGCCCAGCAGCCCACCCTTTCCTCTCCCCACTGCCTCCTTTCCCCTCCCACACTCCCAGCTCGAGCCGTCCAGCTGCGGTGGGGTCTGAGTATATCTAGGACGGGTGGGTGGGTAGCCGCACTGGGCTTGTGTCTTGAGCCTGGAGGGAGTCTGCTCCTGCCGCCCTCTGCCCTTCCAGAGACAGACCCGTGCGCTGCCTGCCCAGTGTGCCCCTTTGTCCCCACGTCAGGCAGAGGCGGAAGGCCCACTGTGCCAGAGGCTGGGCACCAGCCTTAACCTTCTGCTAGCACCTCCTCCCCTTCCCCGAGGCAGCACATCTGGCTCACTCTCCCCTGGGTCTCTGGAGCCCACCAGGGAAGGCCCTCATCCCCTGCCGCTACTTCTCTGGGGAATATGGGTTCCATCCGGGGTTGGGGGCCTCTCTGCTCATCCACTCTGCACCCAGGATCCTAGTCCCCTGCCCTCTGGCACAGCTGCTTCCTGCAGGAAAGCAAGTCTTTGGTCTCCCTGAGCAGCCATGTCCCTCGTGCTGTCTCTTGCCTGTCCCACCTGTGCCCTGCCCTCCAGCTTGTATTTAAGTCCCTGGGCTGCCCCTTGGGGTGCCCCCCCGCTCCCAGGTTCCCCTCTGGTGTCATGTCAGGCATTTTGCAAGGAAAAGCCACTTGGGGAAAGATGGAAAAGGACAAAAAAATTAATAAATTTCCATTGGCCCTCGGGTGAGCTGAGGGTTTTTGCAAGGAAGTTGTGGTGGACAAGTGTGGTCTCTGGTCTAAGTCCAGCCTTGGGGTGGGGGGATGGAACTGGAACCCTGGGCTTGATGGGGTGCACGGGGGTCCTGGCTTGGTTTCTGCATCTTAAGGCTGCTGGTGAAAGCCCTTGACCCCGTTTCCTGGGGCCAGGAAAGCTGCTTGTGCTTCTGTGGTCTGTCCCCAAGGGCCCAGCACCGTTCTGTCAGGGAGAGAGAGGGCAGCCATCAGCTCATACCTGGTGTGCCGCCGCCAACTCCCACGGGGGACACGGCAGAGGTGTGGGGTCGTGCAGCCTCTGAAAGGGCCCCCACTGCACCTGGCCCGACCTCCTTCGGCGCCCCCCAAAACCCCGCTGCCCCCATTCAGCCCATGTCCTCGCTTCGCTGTGTGTCCCAGCCAGGTGCTTCTGCCGCCTCCGACAGTGACAAGTGCCTCGCACTTCAGCCTCTGCCCTGCGCGCCCGCCCGAGGGGGCCGAGTGCGGCTGTGCCGGTGGCTGGAGTGCCTAGGGGTGCGGGGTGCCGAGGGGGACGGCCGCGGGCTCGTCGGGGCTGGGGGTGGCGCCCGAACCGGGCGGGCGGACGAGGGGCGCGCGGAGACCCAGCCCCGCCCGAGGCCGCTCGCGCGGCGGCCCCGCCCCCGGCTCCGCCCCGCCGGCTTCGCGGGCTGGAGAGCGAGGGAGCCGCGGGCGAGGGATCGCAGGATGAGCGATCGCGGCCCGGGCAGCCAGCAGCGGACGCGCCCCCCGAGCCCACCGGCCCGCGCCCCGCGCCCCCCACGGCCCCGCGGTCCCGGTCCCGGCCGCATCGCCCACCTCCCCCGAGCCCCGCGGGCCATGCCCGGCCGGCCCTAAGCGCGGGCCGGGGGGCGTCCCCTTGCGCCCGGGCCCCGCGCTGGCGCCCCCCGGGCCGCCGCCCGGCGCGGGGGCCATGGCGTTCACCTTCGCCGCGTTCTGCTACATGCTCACCCTGGTGCTGTGCGCCTCCCTCATCTTCTTTGTCATCTGGCACGTAAGGCCGGGCTGGGGCTGGGGGCGGGGTGGGGGGCAGGGGCCACACGGAGCTGGAGGGACCCAGGGCGGGTGGTCTCAGAGCCCCGGGGAAACTTGCTATCCCCCAGCAGTCGGCTTGTCGGCTTCGCCCCCATTAACACCCCCCATGGTCGGCTTTCTTCCCAAGGCCCCCCTTCCTTCGCCGCCCCCGCCTGTCTGTATGTCAGTCGGTCCCTGACCCCCTCCTCTGCCCCCGTCCTCTGCCCCATGCAGCCCGTGAGGTGGGGGGTGGAATTCTGGAATTTTTGCTCCTTTACCTTCTTCTACGTCCCCCGCCCCCCCACAACCATCCAGCTGCCTCCATTAGTCCGTCGGGCAGTTTGTCTGTCTGCTGCCCCCCCACCCTTTGTGGGTTTTTCCAGCCAGAGTGATGGAGCCGGTTGCTATGGCAACTGCATCTGTTTACAGGACCCACAGATCTCATAGCCCATTAACCCTTTGCCTTCCCAGCCCCCTCCCTGACCAAACAGCACTTGGCTCTCATCAGCCCCCAGAGACCTAGCCCCCACTACCGGCTCACCTTGGGTTTCCCTACCCCTCCTGTTGGGAGCTTCCCAGCCCCTCAGGTTTCCTCTCCATTTTTCAGCTTCCCTCCTCTTCCTGCCCCCCTTCCCCTTTGTCTCACATACCCCTTGGCCTGTCCCTCACCCTGGCCTAGCCTCACACCTGGTTCTTCAAAATGTCCATTCCTCATCCTACTTCCGACCCATCGCTTCCCCCAGGCTCCCTTCTCCTCCCCTCCCAGCCCCTCTCCTCCAGGGCCTCCTCTGCCTGGCTCCCTTCCCCTCACTACAAAACTATCAATCAGCCTCCAGCTGGTTGTTGGGGGCCCCTGGCCCCAATTTACTGCCCTCCCTCCCCACCCCCACCCAAACCCCGTGCCTGTCTCTGTAACAGCCTGCCCAGCTTGGTCCTGGTCGGCTCAGCTCAGCATTCTCTGCCCACACCTCCCGCGCACACCTCCCTGATTGTCATTCCCTTTCGGGGGTCCTCTTACCCCTCCCTCAATCCCATTTCCCATAACCCTTCCCTCCTTCCTCCTAGTGCCTCACCTGCTTCTTTCCCCGGGCTCCCCACTTCCTCTCTCCTTTCTCTTCCTGGGACCTGCTGCCTGCTCCATGGTTCCCCCTGCGCTCCCTTTGCCATCCCCTGCCACCTTGCTCTTTGCCATCGGGATTCCATAGACTGACTGAACCTATACTGTGTGAGGAGTGAGCCCCCACAGGCACCTCAGCACACACTCCAGCTCCAGCCCTGTCACTCCCTGGCCTGGCTCTGCTGTCTCCCTGGGTCTTGGTTGCTTTGTCTTTCCCCCCCCTTCCCCCCCACCCCGAGTTACTGTATTTTTATTTCTGTGAGGTAGGGGCAGGAGGGCTAGGGTTCTAAGGGCTGAAGGGAGCTGGAGGCCACAGGCTGGGGAATGCAGAGCTGACCAGCTCCTAGGAGAAGGGCTTCTGGAATTCAGGATGCCCCTTTTTGGGGCCTTCCCCACCCAGGGCCTTCCCACAGGCCCTGTGGGGTCCCTGTCCTCAGGGGATTCTCAGCAGTTTTCCATCCACCACACCTGCATTGATGCTTCCCAAAGATCAGGCTCTGGGTGGCTTTGAGGGGGTCAAGGATGAATAAAACCAGACTTTGCCCTTGTGGAGTGCCCAGGCTGGGAGGAAAGGCCCAAGCTTTGAAGAAATGTCTTTGTTCATTCAACAGATATTGATTGAGCACCTATGTGAGGTACTGTGTCCACTCAGCCATTTAACTGGATGATCTTATCTAGTCATTTGTCCTGAGTCTGGTTCCTCACTGGCGAAGTGGACCTGTGCACATCAGAGTGCCTAGTGCGGCCTGCTGGGTGGTAGGGGATAGGAGGTGTGGTCCTCAGTCCACAGCTGCTAAGAACTAGACTCTTAACAGGGCAGGACCCCAGATCCCACTCCAGACCCTCAGCCCAGGCCCCAATGGTTCCTAGGCAACACTGGTGGTGAGTGATGCGTGTCAGCTGTCACCGTGGGGGATTGTTTGTTCCGGGGGGCTGAGTCAGCACCAGGCAGCCTGGGGGGTGGGAGGCGCGACGCCTGCCGCCTGCTGGTGATGACAGCTCTGGGGCACAGACGGCACCCTTCTGCTCCCTGTGGACCCTGTTGCTGTGCGTGCCAAGCGGCGGCTGCCCAGTCAATGAGGAACTGGGTGGGGGGGGGTGATCCAGATGGCCCCAGCTCCCTCCAGGAAGCCCATGTTCTTTCTCTCTGAGCCGTCTGGGTTCTGGGATGCCTGGGGGTGGTGGGCCTGCTGCCTCATCCTAGGGCTGGAGCTGATGGGAGGGGATCCCAGCAGGCTCCTCTGCCAGCCCATTTCCCCCAAGTCACCTGTCAGCTCCTCCCAGGCCCATCCCATCATCCCCTCAAACACTTGCTCCCCTGGAGAGTTTCCACCCGTGAGGACACTGCCGTCTGCCAGACACCCTAACACCTGAAGACACCTTAGACTTCTGCCTTAACTTCTCGGCCCTTTGAACCCTCTGGAGTCTGGCTCCTAAAGAGCTGTAGAATCGCATACACGCCTTCCGTCTCCACTACAACTCTCCTCACTCAGACCACCATCAGCCCTGCCCCTAACCCTCCAAACTGTCCCCTTGCTGGTCTGACCTGAGTATGACACAGTGGTTAGGAATTTTAACTCTGGAGTCACACTGGGTTAGAATCCACTAACCAGCTGTGTGACCCTGGACAAGTCACTTAACCTGTCTCAGCTTCCTCATCTGCAAAATAGACATGAAAATAAAACTAGTACCTAAATCATTAGGTTGTAAGCATTAAATGAATTAATCCACATACCTGCCAGCAGGAGCACCACTTAGATCTCAGCTGTGACTGTCAGTGAGCTCGGATTTCCTGCCCCACCAATCCTGAGACATGGACCAATCCTAAGACATGGGCCTGACCACCCCACTCTGCTGCTGTGTACTCTTCCATGCCTCCCCACAATGTTTTTGTGTTAGAGTCCAGCCTCCTGCTCCAGCCTCACAGGTTGTCCATGTCTGGCTCTGCTGAACTCTCCAGCTCCTCTTCCACCACTCCCTCTTTTCTTCCTGCTCGCCGCGCTGTCATGCCAGCCCCATGAAACCCGCAGCCTCCTGAATGTCTCCTGACCTTTCACCCCTCTGCCATTGCACCTTCTGCTTGAACTGCATTTCCCCCATTTGCTCACCAACACCTACTCCGAGTCGAGCCTGAACTCCCTCACCCTCCACACAGGGTTAAGCACCCACTCCAGGTCCTGTACCCTAAACCCTGATCACCTGGAACGTAGAGTGATCATCCCTCTGGGCGTGGGTTCCTCCCGAGCAGAGGCTGCATCCCAGGCCTCTGGAGCCCCAGTGCTCAGCACAGGGCCTGAGACCTGGTAGGGCAGACACGAGGCCATGTCTTGGGATGTTTCGGAAGGAGGTGTAGTGGACATGGGCCTGAACTGGGCATCCAGACGCTAGGGTTCCCTTCTGGACTGTTGTGATGACCTTGGACCAGGCCCTGCCCCTCCCTGGGCCTCGGTTTCTCCACCTTTGCAACAAGCTCCACCTGGCTGGTCCTCTTCAGTAAACTCCTATCCCACAGAAGGGCTTGGGGGGAAGGTCATAAACTGCTGCCCCAACCCTGACGGGCACTCGCCCCTCCCCCAGATCATAGCCTTTGATGAGCTGCGGACCGACTTCAAGAACCCCATCGACCAGGGGAACCCTGCGCGGGCAGTAAGTGATACATGTGCTGTGCCGAGGTGTGTCTGTCCGTCTTTCCATCTGTCGTAGGCTGGGGGTGGGAGACGGGAAGACGGGGGTGGGGTGGGGGGCCTACGGCCATGCCCCCTTCCTCTCTGTCTCCGCCCCCAGCAAACACCTGGCGCGTGCTCAGGGCTGAGTTCCTCCTGGCGGGGCGGCGGTTGCCAGGCTCTGGGCCGTTGCCTTGGAGACGCGGGTGAAGGCCCCTCCATGGTGACGGTCGCCATGGGGACGGCGCGGCTGCTTCCCGGCCGCGCCGACAGTGCCGCAGAGACCGCTCTTGCGCCCCCTGGCGGCCACATGCCGGGCGGTGGGAGCTGCTCCAGTATCTGCTTCTCCGCCTCCCCCATCGCGGCCTTTTGCTTCCCCCAACAGCGCGAGCGTTTAAAAAACATCGAACGCATCTGCTGCCTCCTGAGGAAGGTCAGTGTCAGGGCTGGGGGCAGGAGGCTCCTAGCCCAGCGCTGTCCCCACTGTCTGTGGCCCAGAACCAGGCCGTCCCCCGCTTTGGGCCTGTTTGATCCACTCTGCTACTTGGGAGGGAGTGGGAAGCCAGAGGCCTTTTAATCTCCAGAGGTCATGGTGGGTGGGCACCTTCCAAACCCCAGCTCCTCTCTGTGCCCTTGAAGCCTGGGTCTGTCATAGCACCAGGCCGCTGACCTCTCACCCTCACTCCCCCAGCTGGTGGTCCCAGAATACTCCATCCACGGCCTCTTCTGTCTGATGTTTCTGTGCGCAGCAGAGTGGGTGACCCTGGGCCTCAACATCCCCCTCCTCTTCTACCACCTCTGGAGGTGAGGGGAGCAGCTGCCTTGGGGAGGCTGAGATGGGGAACAGGGACAGGATGGGGGTGGGAGCCTTGATGGCAGACACTCAAGCCCCTGTCTGCCCCAGGTACTTCCACCGTCCTGCAGATGGCTCCGAGGTCATGTATGATGCGGTCTCCATCATGAATGCTGACATTCTCAACTACTGCCAGAAGGAGTCCTGGTGCAAACTTGCCTTCTACCTGCTCTCCTTCTTCTATTACCTGTACAGGTGAGGCCTTGCCCACAGCAGTCAGAACTCAGGGAAGGGATGCCCCAGCATCACACTTCCAATGCCCTTTGCCCTTGAGGACTGAGGGCAGCCCAGGGTGTGGCCAGGTGGGTAGCTGGGTGGCTGTGTGTGTGCAGGGCTAGGCTCACTGGCTCATCTTCCCACAGTATGGTTTATACGTTGGTGAGTTTCTAAGGGGGAAGCCGGCCAGGGAGTGAGCCCAGAATGGACCGGACGCCTGTGCACCCCCAGCCCTGCCCCTTGGCCGCAGAGGCCTCAGCCCTGGGGAGGGAGGGGGCACTGGTGCCCCCAGCCTCTCCAACCCCCAAACTGCTGCTGCGGGGACCCCCCCACCTTCAGAGCCCTCCCCCTTGGACTAGAGCGGCTGGGCAGAGCTCTAAACAGGGGCAGGGGCTCCTCTGCCAGCCTGTGGGCATGGCAGTCAGTCCTGGAAAGGGCAGGACCTCCGGCCTTGTCCATTTCGGGGGAAACTTGGGCCCTGCCAAGGGGCAGAGCTTGACCCTGGAAATTCTGGGCCACCCCCCTCCACCCCCGCCCTGAGGCTCCCCCTGCAGGTGGGGGGGTACCCGCACCGGGAATGAGCAGGCTCAGCAGGGGGGCAGCCCCACCCCTAGTCTGCCCTCCCCTCTCCCCCAGGCTCTTTCTCCAGCCCTGTCTCCATCTGCCCCAACCTCAGCCCACCTTGTCTCTTGGACCTATTTTCTATGTCGCCTGGAGGAGTCCGGCACCCCCTCCCCGGCCATTTGTGACAAAATATGAATAAACTACTGCAAATATGTGGGCCCCGGTTCTGCTCCTGGAAAGCTTGAAGAGGAGATGGGGGCCAATTACAGGGACTGTATAGGGGGCAGCCCTAAGCTGAATCCCCAGCCTGGCTTGTCTTACCCCACTAGCCCACAGACCCTGCTGGAGCCCCCCAGAGGGATCAGAGGCCTTCCAGTTCCCCTCAGCAGCCTCCTTCCATCTTCTCTTTCCCAGCTGAGGCTGCTGAAACCCTTACAAGGCAGTATCAAGGCCACCAAAGTCATGAAGCCCTCCCTGGGCCCACCTTCTTCCTAGACAGCTCCAAGCCCAGTCCCCTGGGCAATGGAGAGGTCCAGAGGTATCCGTAGCTCCCCATCAGGCCCCAGGAACAAAGGTCAGACAAAGTCAAGGAAATCAAATCTTCAATGAATGAAAAACTCAGTGCCATCTGGGGCCAGGGGGTCACCGGACCAGGTGGAAAGTCAGCCAGTATATGATGAGGGGCTGGAAGGCTGCAGCTCCCAGAGTCAGGTAGAGCTGGAGACGCTGCCGGGGGACGGGGCCCCCCATGCTGTCAGGGCCCAGGGCTGCTGTCCGAAAAGAGCGCACCTGGAAGAAAGGAGAGCTGAAGGCTGGCCAGGAGGGGGAGGTCTGCCCTCAAGTGAAGGCAGGGGAATGGGGGGGCACACCAGACTCACAATGAAGTACATGAGCGCCGATGAGGTCCAGGCCAGCGCCACGTAGTAGCCATC